ATATCACTAGGAATGTTTTATTCAAAAACATAAGACTACAAGTTAGTTGGTTATTCTGACAGTGACTGGTGTGGAGACATAGACGATCGAAAGAGCACCTCTGGATATGTGTTTTTTATGGGAAACACAACATTTACTTGGTTGTCGAAGAAGCAACCTATAGTAACACTTTCGACGTGTGAAGCTGAATATGTGGCAGCATCCTGGTGCGTCTGTCATGCAGTATGGCTCAGAAGGTTGATAAGCAAGATGAAGCTGAAACAAGAAGATCCAACAATAATACAAGTGGACAATAAATCAGCTATCGAATTGGCAAAGAATCCAGTGAATCATGAACGAAGCAAACATATTGATGTTCGATTTCACTTCATTCGTGAACATGTGAAGGAGGGGAGTGTCGAATTGAGGTATGTAGCAAGCAGAAATCAAGCAGCGGATATTTTTACAAAACCACTATCAAAAGAGGTCTTCGACAGAGGCAAGAAGATGATAAGAATGCTGGATGGAAGAAACATTTAAGTTTACAGAGGAGTTTTGTTGAATAAACATTAAATATGTTAGTAATAAAGTTTTACATTAAACATGGTAGTAGGAAGGACAAAAGTTTTAGTAAGTTATTAAGTTATTAGTAACAGTTATGTTTTAGTTTATGTTTTTAGAATTGTAAAAGTTATTTGGGTCTATAAAAGACCAAGTGTATATTTTATTTTATAAGAGCAATATACAAGTTTTCATACAGAAGTCTGATTCATTTTATAACAAGGTGCAGGGCCGCTTTGATGGTGTACAAGGCGGCCTACCGCACAGAGCCTCAAAAGGTTAATTTATGATTAAATAGAGTCTCATAAAATATTTTTAGGTTTAATTGTGATTATATAAGGCCTCTATTTGTTTTATCCTTGATAAATTGTGACTAGCATACACAGGATCTCCAAAAACATGAGACAACTCTAGTAAGGTGTAGTACTTACTAAGCTGGCGCGAAAGGATATTCCACATTTACTTAATTATATTTACCACTTTAGCCAAAAAAAAAAAAACAAATATTAACTATAAGTTGTTTTTCTGTGTGCTTGCCCTCAATATTTGGAATTGAATTGAATCTGGAAAGGTCATCGCTGGTTAGTCTCTTTGGTTGCTATTCACGGACATTATGTACTGATGATTTTTTCCGGCCACTCACTCGGTCGAGATAAGTTAGAACAACTTTTAAAGCAAGGTCGGTTGTTGGTGTATTGCAAACTAACATAATTCTAATGAATCTATTGCATTTTGAATAGTACAATTTTAAGTTTTGTGACTTATTAAATTATCTTCCATATTGATTTCAATTTTCTCTTACTTTTAAAATTTCTACTCTTTGTCACAGGAATATGAGTTTGATTTGGATATGACATGCATCACTGACCTGTATTTTTCAGGAGATTTAGATATGTCATATTAAATTTTTCTTTTAAAATTTTGACTCTTTGTTTAGTTCTGTTTAAATTGGTTGAAAAACATGGATTGAAGATATCACAACCTGATGTAGGGGCAAATAGTGGATTCACATGGGAGATGACAAAGAAGTTAACAAGTATGCCTTTCTTTTACCTTCCTCTCTAATTTTAATCATTTTTCAATCAAGTTGTAGTAGGTCATGCTTTTAAATTATCTCCTAAACATCTTTATGTATCTATTGGTGAAAAGATCTACACAAGAGAGACCTGCCAGACTAACAAGTTTTATAGGTTCAGAGTGAGGTAAGGTGGTTACAACATGTTAATAACTTGGGAGAAAGGTTCTTGAGCTTTTTGTGGAACAAGGTACTGACTTGGGAAATTTAAGCATCTTAGCACTTGATCTGGTGGGAAACTGTTCAGGAAAAGAAAAGGCAAAAATAATAGAAGGTAACATCTTTGATATATCTTTTCCCACTTTTGCTAATGCATTTGAAACCATTGTGTTAAGGTGACACATTTTACACTTCTATACCATAGCTTGTGATGGTAGTAAGGCTTTAATAATGGAAAATAATAATTAACTAAAGACTCTAAAAAATTTCAGAAAATCAGATTTGATGATTATTAATCATTATATATTATGCTAATGCCTAAGTCCGGAATTTTCTCTTTCCATAGATGCAGTTTGCTGAACTTGATAGTTGATTTGATGATGCTTATAGGAAAATGGGTTGTGGCTTATCTCCCTTCAATTCGACATGAATCATATTACATTGTTTGTGCATGTGATGAAATATATTCCCCTCTGTGTGCTTATGTTCATTTCTTTGGATTCACTCTTGAAGCCACATTTTCAATAGGTATGCTGGTTTCTGCGTTTCATTGCATCTTTTTAAACAAAGTCTAACTTTTAATAATGGTGCCATTCCTCCCTACTCTGCATTTAATTCCTCCCTACTCTGCATTTATAAAGCTTTTCCAATGTTAGTTCTTTAATGTAATCTTAGTGATGCTTAATAGTTTTTATATACTGAAATTGTTCATTTTTATTCTTTCAGGTGTTTATGACAAACTGTGATATTTAAATCCGATTTGAATGGAAATGAGGATGGATTACATAGATCCGTGTAAATTAAGTTTATAAACATTTACAAATAGGCATGGCAAAATAAATTCAAATTTAATCAGACCTGAGGCTAGATTAACTAACTACTAATCATATTCATATTTGTGATGAAGCGGTATAAGTTATTAATTAGTATTAAACATGTAAAAACTTTGTACTACCATATTCTTTTTTGACTTTGTAAAAATTAAGTAAATGTGACATTTTTTAATCTTTGATTTTATTAGACACAAGTTGTTATAATTTGATCCTTTTAAAATTTATTTTTAAATAACATAATAAAAATAAATTATTATAAAATAGATTAATCAGATGAACATTTGTTTGATCTTTTAAATTTGTTAAAAAAAAGTTCTACCATTTATTTGTTTTAAACTCGTCTTTTAGATAAATAAATAAAAATCATTTTAAAAGAGATTAATTGATGATTATTTTTTTAATTTTTTTAGTTGTGTGAATACCAATATACGTGTGAACGCATAAATAATACATCAGTATTGTGAGTGTGCAGAATATTATATTTTTTTTAATAATTAAAAAAATAAAAGTAAAAATAATATATTAATTCAAACACGATATAAATATTTTATTTTTTCATTATTTATGTATGTAAAATTATTTTTAAATTAAAATACAAAATGTTTTAAGATAATATATGTATAACACCATATAATCATGTATCATCCTTTTTTTAGTATAGTTAATTGAGGTTTCAAATATATCTTGTGTTGGCTAAAAATATTTTATTTTCTTTTGAATTCAAAATGTCTTTCTCATATTTAAAAATTGGTTATATATATATATATATATATATATATATATATATATATATATATATATATATATATATATATATATATATATATATATATATATATATATATATATATATATATATATATATATATATATATATATATATATATATATATATATATATATATATATATATATATATATATATATATATATATATATATATATATATATATATATATATATATATATATATATATATATATATATATATATATATATATTAAATATTTTTTTATAAAATTTAATAAATACAACATTAAATTTAATTCTTTTAGATCATTCTCTTTTTGGACTTTTATGTAAAATTATTTTTCAATTAATTTTTAACTAATTCTAATTTTGGATATTTATTTATCTTATTTATTAAACTTTATAAACTCTTTTATTATTTCTATCAACTCTAAAAATATTTTTTTTTCTATTTTTCACAATTGTATTTTATAAAGTATGTGTTTAATAATTTTTTTTAATAGTAGTTTTTAAAAATGTATATAATTATTTTCTAGTCTATTTTTTATTTTTTATTTTTTTCAATAATATTTTAATATTTTTTAATTTATTTGAATTTCTATGATAAACTAATGACTATTCTGGGATCCACAATTATACTCTTACAAATGCACAGGTATCTTACTAATTATTTTAATAAATATTTTTCAGATGTCTGAGGCGAGGCTTAAGTTAGCTGAATTGACTTCTATCGTAAGGATTGAGTGGATGATCCACATCCTTGTTACCCTATGCTGCACTGTACCTACCTTGGCGTAAGTTGCTTGGAGTCTGATATTTGATTGGGTTGTTCTCTCCAGAATGGTGTTGAGGTCACTTATTTATTGGTATCCCTATAAAAATAATATTAACATTACAAAATCTGAAAATATTTTTTTTTTGACACATGTGATAAGAAAAATCTAAGTCTATGATCCATCTCTCTTCGGTCTCTCAACTCGACATAATTAGTACACCAACACACTCGTTTATCCTCATGCCAAAAACAATATTTTGAATAGAAACATCATTGTCCTTCCTTCCGGGACAATTTTTAATAAAGTGGCTGATTTTCTTACAAATGAAACATTTTACCTTTAACTTGTGTAACTTCTTTTATTTGGACATCTCTCTACCCTTGTTTTCTTTTCTTGAGACACTTTAAGATTTCACCTCTATGGTCAATCTTTTAATATTTCACCTTTAATTTTTTTTTTGGATCTCACAGTCGTTTAGATTTCATCTAAAGTACATTCTTTATCATAAAGAAAGACATCCTTATCGTCTTTTTAATTTCAACAATTTCAAAATATATTTTCTTTCTCATAATTGTTTAAGGTTTTAAAATACACTTCAACCATTTTGTTAGAATTTATGTAAAGGAATTAACGTATATAATTTTTTTAAAAACAAATCTGATAAAAGACAAACATTAGTCTTTTGCTTTTGCTTGTCAAAGAAGCTTGCGCATGAATGTTACTTTTGATAAAGGAAAACTCTCATTATTAAGATGATTTTTTCACAAAACAAGATCTTTGCATGAATATCAACTACATACAAGTTCTTTCAATTATTTAATCATATTAAACAAGCTTTGTTGTGTGTGACTGTGTTAATCAGAAATTTCAAATCTTGAAATATGGCAAATGAGATGTTCCATAAGAGCTACTTGTCATGCAGAATTCAACATAATCACGAACCGTAGTTTCCCTATACTTTGGAGGATTGTCTTCTGATACTAATTCTTTTATATAAAGTTTTGTTGATGGTTGAAGACTTGTGCTAAAAAGGCTTTCAATTGATATTCTTGGACCAACATAGTTTGACACTACTCTATGCTCAACACTTTTGAATTTGTCATTTGTTATAAGCTGTTTCCAACAAATTTGTTAATTAACAAAAGTAAAACCAAATGTCAACAAAATCATTAACAGTTCATCAAAATTAATCTCAATGAGAACTACCTGTAGAAGATCACCAATGCTGATGACTAAAGCATCAGGTAGAGGTGATACATCAACTCAACTATTTTCACGAAGAAGTTGTAAACCACCAATATGATCTTGTAGAAGCACAGTGAGAAAGTCATTGTCAGTATGTTTAATTGCAAATCCCTCATTGCATCCAATATCATTTAAATAGTTTGGATTCACTCCAAGTGCTTCTGATAATAATTCAAGCAATACATTTCCTAGTTTCATAACTTGCTTTGAATATTCCAACATTATATCTCTGCAGCTATATGCACAAAAACAAAAATGCTATAATCAAATTCTATTACAAAGATACTCACTAAATATATCCATGGATATAATGCACGATAAGAATGTCGCAATGTCTGACAACGTCAATGTCCAACACTTATATGATACTCGTACAATATGTGCCGGACAAATATTTTAAGAAAATATATTTTTTTTATTCTGAACTTTTTCATTTGATATAGGACTTCTGAATGAGACTCATGCAATATGTGCTAGACAATTCAGACAAATATTTAAAAAAAAATTGTTTTTATATGCTTGAAAGAGTTTAAACATATTTTGGAGAAATTTTTGACACATCTAAAAGAGTTTAAACATTTATTTAAGCAATGTTATCAATACATTAATTTTGATTATCTGTGTGTTAGTGTCTTATAATTTTGAGATTATAAATATTAGAGTAGAGTGTATGTGTCGTGTTTCAGTGTTGGAGTCTCTACTCCATAGATAGATATAATAATTTAAAGGCTAAAAGTTGAATTAAAATTAAAGCTAACATATACCTGCAAACTGATGGCAAATCTTCTGCTTTAGGAGAATGAGGAGCCATGAAACAGTGAAAGGTATCCCTCCAACTAGCAGCTGGTGAAGTATAAAGATCAATGTTACTATTATAAACCAAAGGTTTCGTAACATCACGTGAGTATAGTTGTCTTTTCACCTCAGAATCTTGCTCAAAGAATCTAATAACTCCATTCTTCACCTCATCCAAAACACTAACTTGTATTCCATGATTAACAACTTGAAAGAAACCCCATGTCTCAGATGCTTCCCTAATTTTCTCAACAACTGTTTTTTTGTTGGATCTTGATGAATATCAACAAGATCACCAGAAGGAACAACAAGCTTGGTGGTGCTACTTGAAGATGAATAATATTTATCAAATTCATGATGGAACATGCGAGGGATGTTTGTGATAGAAGCATCAACAAGTCCTTTAACACCATCTTTTGTTTCATCAAAAGCTTTGAGCTCACTTGCTCTATCATAGTCAAGTTTTGTTGTCACACTGGTTTTAGAGATTTCCATTTTTGTCTGTCAATCAAATATTTTGGATGTAGTTTTTCAAGACTTGTCTTTATATACAACAAGTGGAGTCTTGAAGAGACAAAATTGCATTAATTCAAAAAGTGGGAATCAAGCATTTGGGAATCTACAGCTTGGGATTTTGTCATTTTGGATGAAGTTTTTCATGACTTGGAATTTTGTCATTTTGGGATTTTGTCATTTTGGATGAAGTTTTTCATGACTTGGAATTTTGTCATTTTGGAATTTTGTCATTCAGAATATCCTTTATTGCTGCTGTTTTGGTTATGTTTAATATTGGAGTGGTTATAAAACGAGTTTGAGTCTATAGTGAACACTTGTAAATGATTTCTTTCATCTTTTATCTCATTCTTTTCATTGTTACATGGATCTGAATCTCATTTTGGAAGATCCGTGATTGATTGAGGAGATTCACTTTTAATTTAACATTTCTTTGAAGATTTATTTAAGATTTTAAAGGCTTGCAAGATTGTAATGTGTTGTGTCTCGTTCTGAAAATTCCAGTGAAAAAGAAGGAGTTTCTTCTCTCAGGTTGACCTTGGTATTTGTTTTGGACTGGGCCTAGGGCTGCCCCTCTGTATGGCATGACCCAGTCTGACGCTATCCCAAGGAAGGCCCAACGATGTGGCCCAAGAAGTCATAGTCGTTGGGGAACGTCTCTCCCACGTGCCCCTCCATGGACACGTGGCCAACTACCCCGAATCCCACGAAGCTTCTTGCCCTCCAGGAAGAAATGGTCCTCCACTATCCGAGGATCGCGGGACAATCGACCCAGGATCGTGAGCAGGTGCTGCTCTACTTCACTCATGTGAATCCTGGTAGCCATTCGTTGTGGGCATGGACCTTCGGCCCATAAGGCTTTGGCCCAGCACTGGGGGATTATAAATACCCTCTTTCACAAGAGGGTCAGGTACACATTATTCTACTCACTCTAACTCTATACTTGCACTCTCTCTCTGAACCTTACTTTGGCATTAGAGTGTCTTGCAGGTACCTCCCCCCCTCCCCCCCATTCACTTCAACAACCATAGAATTCCAAGTGATGCAGGCCACTGAAGCACCTCCTGATCTAGGTTCGATCAGTGGCACCGTTTGTAGGAAACCTTTTGCTTTCCCCGTCTTCTTCTAACAAAGACCAAAGCAATCTCATCAAATACCTATTGATCATCATGGCTAGTCAGCACAATAACAACAGTAACAGCGACGAAACTGTTCATCCCACCTTTGTTTATGGTGGCAACATCAACGAGACAATTAGGCACGAGCAAGGTGACACCCGGGACGGACGAATTGCATCCTCCTCTTCCAGGTAGCACCCCTTCGACATACATTATAAGGTCGACCATCCCAGAGAGTATCAGGAAATCCCTGTGTCACCCAATGTTGATCTCACCATTGTGGCCATGTTTACGACCATCAATCATACTAACTACCTGATTTCCCAACAGAACGAGCGTATTGGAATCCTGGAGAAGGGAAGACGATCTCGATCCTCCACTAGAAGACGTCGTGGACCCGAATCTCGCAGCCCGTCCCCATGGCGATGAGATGCCCGTTCACGTTCTCCTCCGCGGAGACACCTAAGGAATGAGTCTCGGAGCCCCTCTCCGCGACCAACTGGCTGACGCCCTAGGCTGGAGAGGTCGCAGCCCAGCGTCGTTAAGAAGTGAGGTCGTACTCCATCGTTGAATGAACAATGATATCCCGTTCCTAAGAGGAACAAGGCTGTCGAACAACCAGACAAGCTGAAGAGCCAGTCCAAAAATTCACCATGTCGCTGCAAAAGCCCCCGGCTCAATTCCTCCCTGTCGTGCTCGCCAGAACAAAGTGGCGAAGATGACCCCCGCGGCCCATTCAATCGAGCAATTATGGATACCTCACTCCCCGTCAGGATGGAGAAACCACCACCTTTGGCAACCTGTGACGGACTACGACGATCACATCGAGAGCTTTGATACGATGCTTAACTAACGCAACATTGGGGGCTCTATTAAGTGTAGACTGTTCCCCACGACTCTGAGGAAAAGTGTCATGCCATGGTACAAATCCTTGCTCCAGAGTCGATCCCCTCCTGGAGGGATTTGAAGTTCCGGTTTACCAGGCACTTTACCCCTTCTTCACGACACCCGAAGACTGAAGCGTCACTCGAGGAAATTATTCAAGGGAACAATGAATGCCTCCAGGCATACATTGAGAGGTTTTATCAAGAGGGCATCCAAGTCCCCATGACTGACCATATGAAGAGGTACCTCCTCAAGAAAGGGTTACGTCCTGGAGATTTCAGAAAGGCAGTCGGTATCGAGACCCCCGAGTCGTTCTCCTAACTCCTCCGCAAGGCCAAATCCTACATCACCTACAAAGAGAAATAGGCCACCAACAGTGCTCGCGACTCCAGGAACCGCGAGGGGACCAGGGCCCAGAAGTACGATAACGTTGCACATCCTCGACAGGGGAGAGACAAGAAAAGAGATGAGAGGCCTCGCGACTCTTGCGGACACAGAGGCTCTGCTAGCCGTTTTAGTGAATACACTCTGCTAACCGCTCTTCGCGAGTGCATCCTCGCTGAGTGTTCCCCATACCGAAGCCCTCTAAGGCAAACGCCTACAAGACCAAGTAATTTTGTTTCCACAGGAGCCACGACCATGTCACTGAAGATTGCATCCACCTTAAGGATGCAATCGAAACCCTCTGTTGTACTCTAAATTTCGCCCCTAACTTTTTCAATCGCACCTTCATATCATATTTTGTCATTTGGTCACAATCATTAATAAACAGCTTCACTCATCACATTTGTATCCTGTCTTTAAGTTTGCTCTTATGTTGTTGACTAACTTCTAATCAAAATACAAAAAATATTTGTCTTTGTCTTTGCATATTTGTGTTTTGTAGGTACCGAGTCGAAGCATATGGCAAATAAGGTTTTCCGGTATTATTTCCTTAAAATCTCTATTTGTAAAGAAAAAGAATTAAAAATTTTCATTTTTTGTCATTGTACAATCAATTGCTCCTAAAGTGCAATCGATTTCACAAAGTGCATTTTATGCAATTTTTGAAAAAATACACTGTGCAAATCGATTTGCACTATAGTGCAATCGATTGCACAACGTGAAAATTTGAAAAAAAATCAGCAATTTCAAGCTTGTCAAATTTTGGCTCCAATTTTTCTCTAATTTTTTAAAGAATTATCATTAATTCAAATTTTGGCTCCAAGAATCAATTACCACTAATCCCAATCCTAAACTCTATAAATAGAGTCCTCATTTCATTCAAATTTCAAGCTTTTGATAGCCAAATCCACCTTGCTAAAAAATCTCTCAATTCTCTCCATCTACCAAATTCACTCAAAGCTCCATTTTCAAAAAAAAGTTAGTAAGCTTCGCATTGAAGCTTACTAATCTTTGAGATAAACCTTCATCCAAACACTTTTCCTTCATCAATTCTCTACATCCAAGCTTGAGCAATTGATTCTTGTGGTTGAATTGAAGCAAATTCTTGAAGTTGTGTTGATAATTCTCTAGATCTACCTTTGGTAAGTTGGATTTTCCATCTTTCACAACGTGATATCTTGTTGATCTTTGGGTTGATTCATTGAGCATTGTTTTGTGATTCCATTGGTGCTATTTTCTCATAATTTGATGGAATTTTCGTGCTCAATTGGATCCATGATCATAAGATGTTTGATAGAATGTTTGAACAAGAATTTGGCCTTTTGAAATGCTGTTTTTCCTACTGTAACAGTGTGCAATCGATTGTTGTCCTGGTGCAATCGATTGCACAGAAGCATTTCACGCAAAGTTTTGAAAAAAGCATTGTGCAAATCGATTTGCACAGAAACATAATGCATTTTTTGCCTTGTTTTAGGGCTGTTTTGATCCATAAATGTTTTTCTACTCATCTCTTTTGATTGTTTGTTTAAATTGCAATTTCAAATGTCCAATTTCTCTTTAAATTCAATGGACTTTGTGATGTAGATGAAGTTGGATAAATGTTCATCAATTCAAATCTACCAAAGAGTGAATTATTTAATTCATTTTTGGTGCTTTGGATTAATGATATGCTTAGTGCTTTAATCCATCTAGAGGAGTGATTGAATTTAAAGATAAAAGAATTTTGAGGTGGTGATCCAAATTAGCTTATCATTCCCCTCCCTCTTCATCTTATCCCTTTATTTTTTTAATTGTGCTACATTTTAAGGGATGATGATCTCTATATCATTTATCCAAACATGAAGTACATAGATTGCTATTGACCGGCCTCCAAATAGGTGCGACTTCTATATAAGTCTACTTACGATTGCTTAACATAGCGCTAAATTTTGTCCCAATTCGAATAAATGATCATTCGTGGCCCAAACCTATGTTTGCAAGCCCAAGTATGTTAATTTGATCTCTTTGATCCAATAACCTTGAGATTCATTGTGTGGAGGCTTTGGTTCTACCAATCCTCTAATGGATCTACATCACTTTTGGTCAACGTGGATCACTTAAACATCGTTGATCATTAAATGTTGCCTTGAGAATTTATTACATGGATGATATACTTGACAAAAAGCAAATGCAACTTGTTGTGTGGAGGCTTTGGTTCTACCAATCCTAGAATTAGTTCCAAATACAAGTTTCAAGATGGTCATCCAACTAACCATTAATTTCTAACAATTGACTTTATTTTATGCTCTTTACTTTATGTACCATTTACTTTTTGCATTTACATTTCATGATATTTTCATCTTTGCTCACTTGAGCATTTACTTTATGTCATTTTTATTTTGCTCACTTAAGCTTTTATTTTCTTTTTGAAGACACTTAATAATCAACATGAACCATAAAATACATTAATGATACTTGGACTAATTGGTTACTATCCTTTACATTATGGAGTATTGGAATTCTCGGACTTAGGAATAGAAACCTTGGCTTATGATGGATACCTTATGACCTTAATTGATATTTTGTATGGAGTTCTTGAGGTTTACCTCAAGACAT